TTCGGAAGTTAAATTGTGAAAAAATTATGTGAAATATTTTCAAAAAACAAATTTTCTTCACCATTTATGATTTGTTATACCAACAAATTGTGTGTCATCGAGAATTGAATATTGGATATATATAAAAAAGTTTTCTTCGTACTCCTCAAATGTGTGCTTTTGGATATTTAATACTTTTTTCGCTAATTTTAACAACAATTTTGGTTACTTTATTAATTTTTGCGACGACGTCGAAGAAATTCTTGATCGAAATTCTAAGTTTCGATGATATGCAAAATGAACAACAGCAAATGCAGCTGCAATATTTTTTTGCGGAATGATAAATCCCAGAAAAAATTAATTGAAATTAATTAATTTTGATTTAATTAAATTTAATCCCTTTATTTCGAAATTGGTAAAAAAATGTGCAAAATTTTATCATGAAAAATATCATGAATATTTTAAGTTTTTCATTTCGTAGTCCTTATATTATATATTTTTTGTATAATAAATGTGTGGGAGTGGAAGTGGAAGTGGAAATTGTAGACATATTTTGTGTAGAGTTCAAACTGGTAATATGAACACTTTATTACTGTAGATAAGAACAAACGAAAATATAGATAAGAGTTCAAGACAACAGTGATATAGTAGTTAACATTAGAGATATGTGTATTAAGGATAATAATGTAGATTTCGCAGTGAAAATCGTTGACTAAATGCCCAAAATAAACTACTATTAAGGAATTACGCGTTTTGTATCAAGACACATTTTTGCATTAAGTAAAGTTAAAGAATTAAGGAAATTATTTAATTAAGAAATGGTGAAAATGAGAATATACATTAACTTCCTTCTCAAAATAAATAATTTAAAATCCAAGAAAAAACCAATTAACCTATTATATAATTAGTATAAAATTAAATGCAATATATATATATAGATATAGAATGAAACTTTTAGATGTATGCAAAAATAATTATGAAAATAATTTTTATAATTTTTTTCTAACAATATTTAAAAATACAAAATAAAATTATTAAGTAATTATGTTCTTATATTAACATATAAATATAATAAAGTACATGTTATATATCTATGTCATCCGTAAGAAAAGAGATTGTAGGTATTTTGAAAATGTATTTACCACCCACAGAGCAATTTAAAATTTAATTAAAACTTATTTGGAATAATTTTTCAATTTGAATGCTCAATTAGAAATGTATTGAAAATTTGATTAAATTTCCAAATTTTTCACATATCTTTGTACACATATAGTTTTCAAATAATTTACATAATCCAGCTAAGGGCCATTGTCTCCATTGCTGAAGTAATAGCCCAAAATGTATTTCATTAACTTTTAAGTCTTATATTAAATAAAATAAAAAAATTAACATAATAGTTAATAGGACAAGTCTATATATTTGTGTTATATACTATATGAGCATTATTATTTTTTTCTAAGCCTTGAACTATTTCCATCTCATTGTTAATAAATTGAAAAGTGCCATTCAGTAAGAGTAGAATCAGAATTCAGTAACTGAAGAATCCAACTGCTATTGGTTTTTGAAGTTATAATTTTAAAACTTTTAGACTTGTAGATGCCGACACTATCATACATTCGATATTACACACAATCTAAAATTATGCAGATACTCACATATTCTCAAATAATCATATATTCAAAGACTCGTGACCATAACAGAATTTATTTGATAGACGATCTTATAAGTGGATTATAGTAATTACTATATGTTGTTATATATACAGATTTACAGTATTTATAGTATTTATTATATAGCATATTCCTATTTAATAAGAATTATATGACTATTAATTGTCTGCTGTAATTTGTAATCCTTCTTAGGAAACGGAGAAGATTTGGAAGACGTGAGCAATAGAAATTTGAGCTCTTTATGATGTTAGGCTCGTGTACTTTAAGTCTAAGCCTTGAGAGATCAGGATAGAAGGTTAAGAAATGCTCATTATATCTTCGTCTTCTGAACAATGTAACTAAGAGTAGACATAAATTTTATGATCTCGATATAAAACAATTTTTTTTTGGTTTGATGGAAAACATTAAAAACCACAGTGTGAAATCTAAGCTCACTTAAACAACCTCTTAGTAATGAACAATAAAAAATGTTAGCCTTTACAGCGTAAAGTTTCGGTTGCTGGAACCTCTTTCCACTAATCAACGGCAAAAACCGAATATAATGGGTTTAATAGTTAGAGATCTTACACTAAACTATTTTTATATAAAAAAATATATTATATTATAATATTTATTTACAAATTCTGACAGGCTTCCCAACATCGGCCTATCGAATCTCAGAATGGTTACGGGCAGAATGGTTATGCTGATCTGAGATCAATTATTGGTTAGTCTGATTAAATGATAAACAATAATCCAATCAAGGTGTAAAGAGGGGTTTTGAAGAGGGGTTCTCTATAATACCCCTCAGTTAATAGAGAGTGCACTGGCTCAAATAGCTTCAACATAATAAAATGAGTTTCATCTTTCCAAAATTTTTGAATTTTGTGCGTTAATATTGAAGAAATTAGAAATATGATTAAAAATATTGATCTATAGATTAAGTAGTATATTGTATTTAGTAGTTCCTATCTATGCTGATTTAGGCATTGTGTATTTTGGTATGATGTTTTTATTCAAGCGTAATAGCTAATTTTACAAATAAAATTTTTTATTCTTATTGGAATGATAATTTTAATTTACTGAATAATGTATCTTAGTAATATTTTTGAAGTAAATAAAAATATAATTAATTGTTTAATAATGTATATTGTATAATCACAACCTTAACTTAAGTTATACTAAAGTTTTGGTAAATTTTATGGGCAAACATGGCGTATGAGTAACTTTTTTACACAAAGAATTATGATCAAATATTAAGTATTCAAATAATAATAATACTCCACTTTCCCATATTTATAATGAATAATGAAATTGTTTTAGTTTTTATTTAAAATCATTAAAATGTATTTTTGTTTTTTTTTTTTTTGTGTTTTGGAACCATCAATAGTGCATGCGCTGTTAAAATCACATATGAACATTTCCATCAGACATGGAATCATTCAAAGTTTGTAGAATTTCGCTCTCATGCCAAGGAACGGTGTAGAAAACTCTCTAGAATTCGTGATTTCGTGCTCAACATTCTTCTTTTGTTGTTTTTCTCCTTCATTTTGACAGTTTTATTGATTGTCATGAATTTGTAAACATAAATAAAAGCATGAAAAATATTGGAAAAAGAGCAAAATCTGGGAAGAGTGACTTTTCTAAAATGGAAAACAAAAATCCTTTGCTCTCATTCACGCACGACGAGGATGAAGTGTTTGTCATTGTACTAATATAAGCGGATTGTGTTTTTATTTCAGGCGGAAGTGTCTTATAAAATATTGAAAAATACAAAATGATATAAAACCAAATTAAAATTAAAATAATAAAAGTGTAAAAATATATATCGGTATATATTTTAACGAAAACAGAAGTGTTAAAAGTGATTAACATTAAAGAAATATAACAATTTTCAAAGTGCAAATGCTTTAACCAACAAGGATATCTTCCAACTACAGTCGATTTTGAAATCGACTAGCTCTTAGTACATTTTTTAAGGTAACAGCTTTTCTTGATAAAATAATAATTTAAATCATAATTTAAGTAATAATAATAATAATGAAATCAAAGTGTATAGTAATAGTATAGTAATTTCATTATACAATATTTTGATCCATAAGCTGGCAGTTTGTCCGTGGATTCTATAAGGGAAACCCAATGACTACGATGAGTCATACAAGAATTGGAAATATTTGTGGATATTTGTGGATAAGAGAATCCTTTTGGAAATGGATTGTAAATTACTTTAGTGTGTGTTATTTTTCATATAATAAATAAAACAAAGAGCTAATATTAGAATTTAAAACATTTGCAGGAAAATATATACGTAATTTATATGACGCAGGTTGAAATATTAAATTTATTCGCAACTAGAAAAATATTAATTAAGAATTCATATGCGAATTCATATATAACTATTTTTATAATAGTAATTAATCGATTTTTTTTTGGTAGGCACTAGGTCGTCGTGTTAAAATTTAAGGTTTAAGTAATATAAATAATGTTATTCATGAAATATTAAAATATAAATTTTTTTTAAATTTGTTGATACTTACAATTTAATCAGCGTCATTGAATCAGTTGTGTGTTTAAACTATTAATCAGCCCAGATCAAAATATAACATATTTTTCTACATAGTTTTTGCTTATAGAGTTTCCGACTTCAATGCACTTTTTTTTAAGCTACTTATAACTTTTTTATATAAAAGTTATTATTAATAATCTAGATCTACATTATAAATTGGTGCTACTTGATCTAAACGACCAATTAAATCCAATTATTGGTCCTAAATTCATAGTTTTTGTTAGTTTTTGAGACATTTGTTTATCAATATCCAGGCAGACGACCGATGAGCATCGATAAATTTATTCATATATTACGTTTGGTGTCCTGCGTCTATCTTACTGCATTACAAATATCTTGACAAACCTACTATATTTATCTAAAAAAGTGTGAAGATTATCTACTTTTCTTAAATTTTTAAATAAGAACTGTAAATAAAATATCATAATTATAATGAATGGACTTTTTGTTTGAAAAACAATTAAAATGATCTCGCAATTTTTAGAGTAGTTCAGTTTTTTTTAAAAATATTCTATTTATTTTACTTACTTACTTCCTGCTGTCCTTCTCTCCTAAGTAGAGCATCGGTCCTCAACGATTCCTCTAAATCTTATTCTGTTGCCTGCTTTTCTCGTGATTTGGTTCTGAGAGTACTGTGCGTCTTTAAGCTCCTGGTCTACGGTTCTTCGCCATGTCTTAGCTGGTGTTGCCTTGTGATTTCCAGCGTAGGACTTGGTTTGTTATGCAGGATGATGTTTTCCTGAGCGTGTGACCAATCACTTTTTATTTCAGTGGCGGCTTTTGTTTGTTTCGTGCGTTCCCAGTGATTAGTATTGGGTATGCGCTCCGGCCACCATATTTTCAGTATTCTTCTTAAACATTTATTTATGAATACTTGGATGCGTGATTAAATAGAGGTTTTTGTTTTTTCGTGGCTTATGTTCAGGCCGGCATTGGATGCACAGGAACTGAGTATGTCAATTTGGTTCTGTAGCATACTCAATACCGACAAGTTTGCTAAAGGATGTCTATTGTATTTCGATGCTGTCGCTACGTACAGAACACATGACGGCATTCAATGTCGAAATAAACCTTGTTTTACGCCAGTATTGACCCCAAAGGGTTTACTATTCACTTTGATTTGAACATACTTTAATTTGGCTTCAGAGTTATTATCTATACAATTATTTTTATCTTTTTGTACCGTAGTTAGAGCATAAGGTATGAAGATATCAATGGGATCACGGTTATTTATTGTCGCTTCTAATAATAACACACAGGAGGATATATAACATATAATGAGGTAGTCTTTTATTTTTTTTTTATTCTTATTAAGTGAGTTTTACTTTGGTTAAAACTTATCTTTCACTTGCTTAAATAGGGTGCGTGAAATATTGTCCATTCTGCTCACTTTAAAGTTTCCGGAATACAATACGAGCTACATTTTCTATTGTTTTCAAAATGGCTTCTTAAACTATTTAATTTTCCAGACGAAATTAAGGAGATTCGATAAGTCTTCTTCAACTCCGCCAAGCCAGTAGAGAAACGGTTTTCTAGACAATGGAATTGCTTTAGTTGAACTTCCGGGCCGAGGCATAGAAAGTGATTAATAAATTTCACTCTATTTTCATCATGATACCTTCAGCATAGAATGAGCCAGCGTAGAAACATTGGTCCAATAGCACAGTTGTACGAAAATATTTCGTTAAGCTCACGAATTGCAGATTTGTTAAAACCCAAAATCTTTTATGCCTTTGTAACCTAGACAATAGAGTCCTAGCAATGTCATACTCTCCGCGATTAGTTCATATGTACGTCATTGCAGTTCTTTACTGCAATGATGAATTAATTTATGCTGCTAAGACAATTCTCATATTGGAAATATGATAAAAGAAAGCAATGAAGTTAAATATGTTTTTGTTAAATAATCTAGTTTTTTATAATCCATTATAAATTTATGTCAGACAGATAGGAGTTCAAATTTCTATTACTTTAGAATTGAAACATTTTAAGCAAAAATTTTTGCATGAGATGAAAAAAAGGACTGTAATTACACAACTCCTTCTATATTTGTCTAATCAAATCTTTGATAATTATAATTAAATAGTGAGTGGACCCTTGCCGCCTCAGCAAGCAGGTCGAGAGCAACATGGCCAAACTTTTCCAAATGTAGAATCGCAGCCTTCAGAGGTTCAGAGAAGAGCCTTTAAAGAAACAAATCAGAGGTTTCTATTATAATATCTGTTTTTACAGGGCACTGGACCATAGAACGACATGGAGCTAGACTTGGCCTACCCTGTGGTATCTCCTGAAATGCGTGTCTACCAGCTCTTGAAAAAAAGACACCAGAACACCTGGTGTGTCTATGTCCAGGTTTGGTCAGAACTATGCTTAAGTTTCTTGGGGTCCCCTTCTTAAACACACTCGGCAGCACACTCTCTAGTATAAGCATTGGCCGGATTCTTGCCTTTATAAATGCCTCTGGTTGGTTCTAGCTTGACCTTCTCTCTTGTACCCCCTATTACGAGGTTTTGTGAACACAAAACGGCTTTTGACTCGTTCCTCCCTCTACCACAAGTAACTAACAATAATTAAATTATATAATTGTATTGAATTTATGGGCAATATGAAGAAGCTTAGGGGAGAATTACAATACAATGTTACTTCGGATGAGTGAGCTATGAAAGTAAATACGATAATTTTTCATAGCCTAAATCAAGTTAAGTCCAAGTTCTTAATTCTTAAGTATATAGGTCGCATATTGTTGTTTTTATTCTTTATTCTTTAGTTATTATATTTTTTAAATGTTACTTAAACGCAATAGCAATACCGGCCGTTAAAGTAGTCTCTAAATAAATTGGTTTCAAAGACATATTTTTAGAAAAATTTAAATGGTAATCAATCATATGCAATAGACTTGTATTCCTTAAATAAAATTGAAATCGATGTCCACTTAACGGTGCAAACCTTGGATGTATGACTGTATGTAAATTTAATAGCCAGCAGAAGTCGTGGAATGCAAAAGTATTGAGATGTGACTTACTTAACAAATTTTCCATGAGTCATGAATTGAAGTGAATAAATGGCGGTCACAGTATTCTCGCAGTTGCTCGCATTGTTGTTGTTCCATTCTTTACGACAGTTTGCATGACTGTGTGTTGCGTCTCCAGCCATTAAATTTCGTCTCGTATAACGGCCAATAAAACTGGTAGCGCAGTAAACTTGGCCAAGAGCACTTTACATTAACAACTTGACATTTGCACGAGTTTTCCAGCATTTCACAGTGGTAATTAAATGCTACAAGCTACAAGCGTTTTTATGTATTAAAGCGTTCAATAAATCGAGTCACCAACATCAACAACAGCACCAGCGGCGTTGGGATGAGAACTGCTTGTGTGCAGGACTCCATGAGCCACCACGCAAAATTATGCTCCGCATTTAATAGTTCATTTTACGAACAGCAACAATGGCTTTTAACAAAAAGTCCTTGCGTTGCTTCCATGCTTTGTTAAATGTATTTTTTGCATAAATTACATTGTGGCACGTCGTGGGAGCTACATTATTAATTTGCTTTTAAAACTTTTTCTTTGCTCCTTTGCCCCTGCAAAAAGGTACTTTAATTTTAGAAAATGCTCGGTGCAGAATTATGTGCGACATGGCAGTGGATTTTAGTAATGGCACGGAAGCGAACTTCTCCAGAACTTCAAGTTTAAAATCGCAAAGTATTAAAGTATAAAAACTTAATAGAAATATAAGTGTACCCACCTGCGTTTGCTGCACTCATATTTTACTTCCCATAAATGCTACTAAATCCAAACATTTGTAATAAAATTCCATTATTGTAGATATTCTCCGAAAGCTTATTTAATATTAATGCACGCAGATATTCATATTTTGAAATAAAAAATAATTTAACTTATGTTACTTAACTTAATGAGGTCATAACTTTTACGCAGAATTTCAATTAATTAACATTGAAATGTACAATTAGCCTTTAATAAGAATATGAAATAATTATAAATAGATTTGTGAAGTAAACATGTTTTATGAAGAAAAGTGACTTATTACATATTTAATCAAGTATTTTATTGTTAGATAACATATATTCAGTTTAATTATTGTTTGCGATTACAATATTAGAAGAGCTTACCCAATCTATTAATCTTTCTCTACACAATGGAACAAGTTCAGATATATAATTTGTGGATAGAAAAACTATATATATATGTATATATATTTAGCCAAAAAATATCTTTGAGTGAGGTATTATTTAAAAGAGTCTTTAATAAGTTCTAGCAAGAAGAATTAAGTTGGTTCTTAAATAAAAAAACACTTTTCTGTGTTCTGAGTCACAGTTATCGTTTTGCGGAAAAAAAATAGAAACTTTTACTTAAACAAAATAGAATATTTAACTTCCAGAAAGTTTATTGATGGTAGAATATTCTGGTATATGACTAAAAGATACGTTAAATATATATAAATAATAACCTAAGTTAATTATAACAAATGTTTAATAAGTTAACTGCGTTATGAAGAATCTGCGTTCGTTTTTAGTAAGTCCCGGGGCATGAAGGACACAAGCGAAATTAAAGAGCTGATGGTCTCGTCAAATGAAGAGATAAGCCATTCTGTACACTGAAGAGAGGGTACATTTGTAGAGAAACTAAGTAGCGAGAGAAAATATAATTTAAAAACTACTGGATAAACTGTAAAAGTCAAAGACTGGCTAAGAGCTTTATTAATCTGACCTCCCTGCAATGAGCAGAGAGGATATTAAAATTCTCATTGGTTTTTCAATAGGGCAATTTAAGTTAAGGTATCATCACAACAATCATAATATACCGCTTTTGTGTAATAGATCTCTCCATCTTTGGGACAGAAGCGTTGGCCCAAAGCACATATATGAAGACACAAAACCGTAAAAGAATGTGTTTATTCAAAACCTTATAATCGGTTAAAGTAAACAAGTTTAGCACTATTAACAACCCAATAAATAATAATTACTTTTCAGTATATAACAGACTCAAAAATTGATATAAAATTATGAAGCAAAAAGTCATAGCGACTATTTTTATAATAGTCTATTTTTATTAAAATAAAAGTATATTATTTAAATTGATGTGAATTTAAAAACGTGTTGTTTATATTCTATATATTTATTAATATATACATTAAATATACTTTCATATTAATATCTTTTCAGAAAGTAATAGAAAAAAAAGGCCTTTGGGCCTCTTACCGCCAAGATGTCGTCTGTTAAGGTGGCGGTTCGAGTGCGTCCCTTCAACTCACGCGAAATTTGTCGGGAGTCAAAATGCATTATAGAAATGAGCGGTGCAACTACCGGTAGGATAATTTATTTTAATTAATATATTGTAATATATATTAATCAATATTCAATTTTAACTAAAAAATTATAATTATATATTTTATTACAGCTATAGTGAATCCGAAAGTACCACCAAACTCAAGTGAAGCTGTAAAACGATTTAATTTCGATTATTCCTATTGGTCACATAATGTACGTACTGCCTAGTATTTTAACTAAAATTCGTTATTAATATTTATATATAACATACTCGTAACATGTAATGTTCAAATTATAAAATTTTTTTAAATGCAGCCAAAAGATGAAGACTTTTCTACGCAAGAAATGGTCTACAAAGATATTGGCGAGGAGATGTTACAACATTCCTTCGATGGTTACAATGTCTGTATATTTGCTTATGGACAGACCGGTGCTGGTAAGTCGTATACCATGATGGGTAAACAAGAGGAACATCAGGAGGGTATAATACCGATGATATGCAAAGATTTATTCAATCGTATCCATGACACTGAAACCGATGAGCTCAAGTATTCGGTACATAAACATATTAACATGTATAGATAATTATTTATCCTAAATATCCTGATAATTAATACAGGTTGAAGTATCCTATATGGAAATTTATTGCGAACGTGTGCGTGATTTGTTGAATCCTAAGAACAAAGGCAATTTACGTGTTCGTGAACATCCTTTGTTGGGTCCCTATGTAGAGGACTTATCAAAATTGGCCGTTACAGATTATCAAGATATACATGATCTCATTGATGAAGGCAACAAAGCTAGGTTAGTTCATGTTTATTTTTTGGAATTTAATATCTAACAACAAATCTTTTTTCAATATTTTTCATAATATAAATGTATATATATCTTGGATTTTTTCTATAGAACTGTTGCTGCTACCAATATGAACGAAACTAGTTCACGTTCTCATGCTGTATTTACTATTTTCTTTACACAACGTCGTCATGATACTATGACAGATTTGACTACTGAAAAAGTTTCCAAAATCAGTTTAGTCGATTTGGCTGGTTCCGAACGTGCTGACTCTACTGGTGCTAAAGGCACACGTCTAAAAGAGGGCGCTAATATTAACAAGTCATTAACTACTTTAGGCAAAGTTATCTCTGCTCTGGCTGAAATCGTAAGTACTTTGGTTTTGCGTCTCATTTTTAAAATATCAAAAATATATATATATTTATGAAACTTGTAAATTTATAAATAATTATTATATATTTTGCGATTTCATAGTATTCATCTGCATTTAATTCTTCATATTTTTCAATTGTGTTTCAATTTCTTTTTTAAAATGTCTGCACTTTTGCAAAAAAATATATATGAATATATATATCGTATATATAAAATCGGATATTGCTGTAAAATGTTAAAAACTATTCCAAATTTAAAACACCTCAATTATAACGTTAAAATTAAAAGTCCGTAAGTATATAATAAATTGTTTTGTTTTAAATGTTGTGTCAGTAAAAAAAATTAAATCTTTTTTGTATGTATTTAATTTGAAACCTGTAAAATATTTTTGAAAATTTAAATAATTAAATTTTTATAATTTTTACAAATATATAGTATTTTTTAATTATACTTAAATGAAAATAAATAAGTAATTTTTATTTTTAATATCTTATTTGCATAAACCTTTCATATATACATAATTACTATTATTATACGCAATTATATATAATAGCGGTTTAGAATTAAAAAAAAATTTAACAGAATTAAAAATTTTAATTTAATAATTTTATCGATTGAATAAAGAAAAAATGGAATGTAAAGAGATAGCCAATTTATAAGATAAATTAATCAGCTATGATGTATTTTTATTTGTGCTATTGCAATACTTAAAGTGTTAAAAAAAATCGTTTTGAGATTCCAAGTTTGTTTAAAAATTGGTTTTAATAGATTCTATAAAATTATATATATAGTATTATAAGTGGTGTGTTATTTAAACCTCACAGGTTGACGTTTGCTTTAAAAAAGACATTGTTAGCGAAACTTTCAACATATTCATATGTAACTATAATCTATATAATTGAGGTATATATTAAAAAATATAATTAATTATGCTTCGGTAGTGCGAAGAAAAGAAAGCTAATCTACAGCCAGATAATCAGGTCAGCACTACTTTATGGGTGTGTCGCGTATAGCAAAGCTGCCAACTCTACTATTGAGAAGCTGCAAGCTGCTTAAAGTCAGGCTCTCCGAAGATTCTTCAAAGTGCCTTGGTACATCAGCATAAATGACATGCTAAAATACCTTAGAAAAGACTCGGTCAAAGAATACATAAGGGACTGAGCCATGAAACTATTCGCAAAAACCGACAGGTTAACGTACTTAGCACTATCTAATCTCATATCTTAGATCGAATTATCAGTCATCGAATAATCACGAAGCTTATACATAAATTAGTCAAGAAGAAGGGTGGAACTCTGCAGAAACCCCCAGCTATCAAAGAGTATTGATTTCCATATATATTTAAAAAATGAACAATCTTATAAATAAAAAAATTAAAAAACTTATAAGCATAAAATCTCAATCAAGCACAAAATAAATAGTGTTAGGATATGTAATTTTTAGTATTTATGCAATACTGCATGCTTAGTACATATTTATGCTCTATATCGTTTCCAAAAATGATTTCCATTAGATTTGCTTTTATACAAAACTTTTCATAATAATATAAACCTTTGTGTCATTGTTCCTGAATGCTAATCACTTCTATCATTCAGATTATAGTGCGGAACCAATATTTTCATTGCATTCATAATACATATTATAATCTTAAGAAACTGTGTTTTTAATCGTCTTAGTTTTAAATCGTGTGAATAGCATATTTAGAAGTAATTTCCATTTACATCCTTTCCTTTATTTAGCATACTATTTTTTATTTTCAAGTAAAATAATAAAATATGTAAATAAAGTTAAATAAAAGTAAAATCTATAACTTCATAGGCATCTAAGCAAAAGAAGTCAAAGAAAGCTGACTTTATACCTTACCGTGATTCTGTTCTCACTTGGCTATTACGTGAAAACTTAGGCGGTAACTCTAAAACTGCTATGATTGCGGCTATATCTCCAGCTGACATTAATTACGATGAAACTCTAAGTACTTTAAGGTATATAAAATTTATTTTTGAAAAAATGTGTGCAAAATATATATAATAAATAAAATATATGTATTTACGTATAAATAATTATTGTATTGCAATAATCCAGGTATGCCGACCGTGCTAAGCAGATCGTGTGCAAGGCCGTTGTTAACGAAGATGCAAACGCTAAACTTATCCGAGAACTTAAGGAAGAAATACAAAAGTTGCGAGATCTCTTGAAAGCCGAGGGTATTGAAGTACAAGAAGGTGAGAAACGTTTAAATTAAGATTTGAAATCCTTGGCCGTTCTATTAACTTTTCATAGCACATGATCATATAAAATTTTTAGTTCCTATATAAAAATATATATGTATGATTTTTTATAATTAGTTTAGTTACAAAAACAAAGCATACTATGTATACATATTTCATTTAGGGCCCGATGGCAAAGTGGTTTGTGAGAAGCGCGATCCAAATAGTAAGTAACATGAATGGAATGAAAAAGGCTTTTGCTAATATGCAAATAATATCTTTAAAATATTCCTAAAACAATTTTTTTTTAAATATATCTACACCAATATAATTTATGAAAAAATATACTCGTTATATGATTAGAAAATAATTACACATATATGTTTAAAAAAAAAAAACATTTTTTGTGTGTCTATTGCAAACATTTTATAAGTGCAATTATTTTTTGCTTCAGGACGTTTTACGATTTGATGTTTGTGTAATACATAATATTAATGTCCTCTTTATGTTGCTCTCTCTTACACTTTTAATAATAATAATTGCATATTATGTGTATTTTAAAAACTACAAACTATAAATCTTTAATTTGTCAGGTTTGTTTTTTAATACATTTGTGTTGCAAAGAAAAATATTCATTTATCGGACTATCTAAAAATTTTTATTATTTAATTTTAATTTTTGACAGGATTCTATTATTTAAGAACTTGGGAAAATCAAATTTTTAATCTAAATATAAGTTTTATAATAGCATAAAAACAAAAATCTTTTCCGATATGCTTGACTATAGGAATAGCTCACTTGGTGCAATATTGTATACCATAGATGTTTCACACCTTAGTAAAGAGGATTGTTTAAATATGGCCGGCCAATAAAATTTTAATCATCAATTTCTTATATTGTATATATACGAAATCTGTATTTGCATCATTTAGAGTTAAAATACATTTTAGTTAAAATTCATTTTTTTAGATTAATTTGTAGCAGTGCCTTGCAACCCACGAATTTGTTTTGTTCTAAAAATTGACTGAACGAACAGAAAACCTTAAATATCTGTTCTGGATGTGCAAGTGTAAGATATGGATATAAGCATCCGGTTCAGTATTCTCCCCTCCTCATTCAGAGTCACCATTTCCCGGCATATATGACATTTTGTCACCAGATAAATCTATCTTGTTAAGATGAAAGTGTCGGTTGTAATTTTAGGTAGTCTACTAGTAACCTAAGTTATATTCGTCTAAGGAGATACTTGATATATATATGCTTCGACATTTGCTAGTGTGTTCCTATTAAAAGAAAAATTGGTTACTGAGTATTCAAAAGAGGTGTAAATCGAACAACATCAAGTATTTGATATAAAAACTTAAAAAAAAATTAACTTGAATTGCGTAAAATTAGCGATTATCATTATTTTATAGTGTTTGAAAAATATATAACTCACTCTATGACTTTCAATAAAAAGCCTTAATATAGCACTAAATATCAGCACATATTCCATAATATTAATCATCTGAAAAATAGAAGAGTATTTTACAAAAGAAATCGTATTCAGCTTTCAATGCAACGAAACATTGTATACCCTATTGGTATACGTTAAAGTTGTTGACATTATGTCGATGACAGCGATTTGATTGAATTTATGTGAAAATTTTGAATTGGAATTGTATCTTAGCAAAGTATTCAATATTTTAAACTTTATAATAATAGTCCAACAAAAGTATAAAATTAAGTTTAATGAATCAAGTGGCCAGTGACAAGATTTCTCCTGTGAAGATTTGATATTAAAGTGTTTATTCCTATTCTAAAGTTCGATTAATATTTTCCCATTCCAAGTATTTATGTTTTCAAAACGATAAAACTGTAAGGGGAGTGGTGATCGATATTATATTTGAGTAATCGAAACGGAATGCAGGCATAGTTATTCATGAAACCTCTGTCATTGTGGAAGATTGTGGAGTATTGCTGTAAGCTTAGATAGAGTAGTGTATTTAATTCTAAAGAGAGTTACGAAGATAATTCGAATAATATAAACACAATAGCTTTTATAAATGAATTTCACAAAAGTAGTCACTCATAGCATTTATTTTAGTAGGTTAGATATTTAACAATTGATGCAATGGATTTGTTTTTAGTATTCCCTTCACCGAATCAATAGAGATTTCGTAGGCATTATTTGAAGTCCTTTCACTTCTTCGTTAATTTTATTAAATATTCGTGCGTATATTTGTATTTATTTATGTTTTACAATTGGTATTGCTTTGTTCATTGTACATAATCCACAATATTATATATGTACTATATAAAATTGAATACAGTCTAACCTTATCTAATCATAATCCTGCTATGCACGCCGCCTTTTTGCACAAATTAATTGGAAAAATATTCTAATGTGAAAACTTTACAGAGGATGAAATCAATAACAAGGTGATTGGTAATTCTGGAAATATGAAGTCTCCTTCAAAGACGCGTAATCGAAATGGTTCAACTGCTGAAATGGCTGTAGATCAGTTGCAAGCAAGCGAGAAACTAATTGCAGGTAAGACTCATACGTGATTTTCAGTTAAATAAATATATGTATGATGATTTTTAAAAGAACTCAATGAAACCTGGGAGGAGAAATTGAAACGTACCGAAGAAATACGTTTGCAGCGTGAAGCAGTCTTTGCAGAGATGGGTGTCGCTGTTAAGGAAGATGGTATCACTGTTGGCGTATTCTCACCGAAGAAAACGCCACATTTAGTTAATCTAAATGAGGATCCAAACTTGTCTGAATGTCTGTTGTATTATATAAAAGATGGTATAACACGTTTGGGCACACATGAAGCGAACGTCCCACAGGATATACAACTATCGGGTTCGCATATTCTAAAAGAGCATTGCACTTTTGAAAGTCGCAACAGTGTAGTAACACTTATTCCTCATAAGGATGCACTAGTCTATTTGAATGGACGTAAACTGGTTGATCCAGAAGTTTTAAAGACCGGTTCTCGTGTTATTTTGGGTAAAAATCATGTATTTCGTTTCACAAATCCAGATCAAGCACGTGAACTGCGTGAAAAGATAACTGATAATGCAGAAAATGAGAATGAGAAATGCGATACACAGCAAGTCGATTGGAACTTCGCACAGTGCGAGTTATTGGAAAAGCAGGGCATTGATTTGAAAGCAGAAATGAAGAAACGTTTGGATGTGTTAGAAGAACAATACAAACGTGAAAAATTACAAGCTGATCAAGAGTTTGAGGAACAGCGTAAGGTATGTATCTAATCTTGTTATCCATATTTTAAATGGAACTGTAAAAGTAATGAAAAATATTTGCTTGTCAGTCGTACGAGGCACGTATTGATGCTTTACAAAAGCAAGTTGAGGAGCAATCGATGACTATGTCAATGTATAGCAGTTATTCACCAGAAGATTTTCACCAAGAAGAGGATATATTTAGTAAGTAATATAAAATTATAATAATGCTGGAATGTGTATTTCTGATGAAAAAGTTGTGATATTATTGTTAAGAGAAATTAATTTTTGTGGTTTATGTTATTTTTTAAGTACCCAACAATTCCTATTAAGTGAATTGAGTAGCATTTCGGTTGATTGCTGATATAACTATGGGTAATAATGATGACAAATTTTACTCAGTAATAAATGCGAAATAGCAACTACGCCTCATTGGTACATTTGGTGTCCATTTCGCGTTGTGCATGATCTTAAGAGACCACAACGCGTTTTGTTTGTGCGATAAGCAAGTTAAGCAAACTAACTTGAGCTTATTATTTTATACTTTATTATGTACACTGTTTTATGAAATTAGTTCAAGACATTTAAATCAAAATAACAATTAAGAGTTTAAAAAAACATTCTTTAAGATTAATGTACTATTATTGTGTATTTATTTGTAATTTTCAGCAAATCCATTATATGAATCCTGTTGGACTGCACGAGAGGCGGGTCTTGCTGCTTGGGCTTTTCGTAAATGGCGTTATCATCAGTTCACTTCTTTGCGAGATGATCTCTGGGGTAATGCAATATTCTTGAAAGAAGCAAATGCAATTTCTGTTGAGTTAAAGAAAAAGGTACTTTTCTGTGAAATCTGCTGAAACTAAATGTTCATAACTATTTTTTTCTTGGGTTTTTAGGTGCAATTCCAATTTACACTTTTGACTGACACTTTGTATTCTCCCTTGCCGCCAGAGTTGGCATCTTCTGC